AAGGACCCCGCTTGCCGAACAGCACGGTCCTGGGCGGGATGGGCCAGGAGGCCCGTCGGCGACGACTGGGCGACTGGGGATTAAAGAATTCCCTCCTGAGCCTACAGTCATCGTGCTACCACAGGGAAGGAACGACGAGGGTGTCCTGGCCACGGCGAGCCTCGGCCACGAATGCGTTCCCCGACCTAGATCCAAGGAACGGCCTGAAAACCAGAGCCCGCTCACGGACCGAAAGAGGTCCGTATCTCAGCGCCGTGGCTGGACCCCCTGAACCTTGAAGAGCTCCAGGTCGCTGCGGGCCGCCTCCGAGGCCTTCGCGGCCCGCTTGGCCTCCGCGGAGAACGCCTTCAGCTCTTGCGCGGCGGCCCTGGACTTGGCCTCGCTCTCGTGGAGCTGGGCCAGGGCCTGCTCGGAGGCGGCCTTGCACTCCTGCGCCGCGCAGAGCCCGCCCGCCGGAGGAGGCGGAAGGGGACCTTTGGTCGGAGGCTGTCCTCGTCTTCCTCCTCCCTCCTCCCTCCTCCCTCCTCCCTCCTCCCTCCTCCTCCCTCTCCTCCCTCCTCCCTCCTCCTCCCTCCCTCCTCCTCCTCCTCCTCCCTCCTCCTCCTCCTCCGTAGCCATTTTGGCTCAAGGCGTCAGGACCATGGGCCCGAGTATTTCGGCGCCCGTTCAGTCCCGACCCCAGCGCCACAGGCTGGCGCGACGCCATGGCACCGGGACGGCCTGGCTGGCCAAGCTCGTCAGCGGCAGCATGATGCTCACCTTCCTGAAGGCCCACCGCCCTCCGGCCTGGTACTTCCTGGTGGAGGCCGACCTTGGTGAGCTCAACATCCAGCTGAAGGGGCAGGGCGTCCAAGCATCTTTCCCGATCGACGGGGCCAGCGGCGACAAGTTCCCCAACGGCGGCAAGAAGGTCAAACCTGAGGGACACCTTCCTGGAGACCCGCGGCCACTCGGTCGGGAACTCCTTCGCGCATGACGACCACAGCGAGCTTGTCACGAAGCGGGAGGAGCAGGCCAAGGCCAAGGGCGCCTGCGTACTACATGTCGCCGTCCCGCAACGTCTACGACATCTGGGAGGACCCGCTCCAAGCCTTCTGCTACGTCACGTTTGCTCATCGAGATGTCGGGGTCGTCCCCGCGCGACGTCGCAAGCAGCCGATGATGTTCAAGAGGCACCGCGAGAGCTCCCTAGTGCACATGCTCAGGAAGTACACCCTCACAGCGGCTGCCTTCGGAGGCATGTGCATCAGCATCATCACCTTCTCCTCGTTGTTTGCGACGCTGCGCTTCGACTGGGCTCTGAACGTGAATTTTACCGTGAGGCCGCTTGGCCGCTTGTTCAATGTGGGCACCTCTGCGGAGGGGGACCCAAGGCACTCCTAGGGCACTGGCCGCGGCCCAATCGGGCCGTGGGCCAGGGGACCTGGTGGGAGGGGACCTGGCACAGCCAAAAGAGTAAGAAGCGTGTCTTTGCCTGTGCTTACCCTTGCTCTGGCAATCATAAGGATTGCTGAACTGTTGCTGAACTGCTACTGTGCGTGCCCAAGGCGGCACCTCCGCGTCTCGGTGGAGCACTCACCGCCTTGTTAGGCTTTTGTGCGTTCTCCGCCGCCTGCAGCAGGAGGGTGCTGCGTGGAATCCCTCGACGGCCGATGTGGTTGGTTGAGGCCCCTCCCTGTGCACGGTGCCAGTGTCCTTCGCGAGGTGGTTGTAGGAAATGACGATCCCTTTAAAGGGTCCGTGAGTTGGTGGGCCAACTGCGGTCGGGGGTTGCCCGGTCATCTGCTGTGCTCTCGCGCAGTTGTTAGGGCCGCATCGAGTCTGCTTCTCTTCCATTTAGTAGTTGGATTGGCGGCTGTTGCCACGGGCTCGGTCCCTGGGTGGCGGCGTCGAGGAACCTGAGCTGCGGCAATAACGGTGAAGCGCTATCACTTTAAGCCAACCCACCATCCAGGTTCGGGTCAGGGGCAGTCGCCCGCGTTCCTGGTTGGGTTTAATTTTCCCACTTTCGCACCGCGATGGAGCCAATCCAATCCAATCCAATCCCTCCTCCTCCTCCTCCTCCTCCTCCTCCTCCTCCTCCTCCTCCTCCTCCTCCATTCCTTCTCCTTCTGGATAACTTCTCCCTGTCCCACCCCTAGGCGGGTCGGAAGGGCGGGCCAGGCGTTTCCCCCCCTCTCCCCCCGAATGCTACCGTCCAGTGCACTGCGCTGACGATGACTGATTGCCTGGGTGCAGTGCACCACCACTCCGCACACGTCTGCACCACCACTGCAAGGTCTGAACTTGCTCCGGAGAGGCTGCCCGTCGACGAGCAGTACAAAACTTACACACTGAGACCTGGAGCTGGGTAGATATGATGGGGGACCTGAAGAGTCCAGCATTTAGCCAGCATGCTCTTCGTCAGCAACCAGCTGTACAGCACATGTGGCATAACACTCAGGGGATATAACCCACACAAGCGTAGACGGTGCGTGGCCTCGCCAGGTCCAAACAATAAGATCGTGCTTCGGCAGACCAGGCTTCTCGCGACTGATGCAGATTTACAATCTGCATGGGCAGTTCGCCAAGCATGCACGGTTGAAAGAGGGACCGCTGACGAGCGCAATCGCTACGCAAGAAGCCAGATCTAAAGCGCTTTGCCACCCCAATAATGGGGGGGTACAAGATACTCTCGCTTGGGAGACTGCGGAACTTGGCCGTCTCAGGATACGGAGAAATAATCCGCCGACCCTGTCGGCGTGTGTGACGGGCTTTTCCGTTCGAATCGGGCTGTTCTGTTGGAGTCGTCGTCTCCGTCCTCTGTTCCATTTGCCTGGGCCCTCTTCCTCATACGCGCCGTCCGAAGCAAAATTGAACAACATCGGAGTGGACTCAAAGGGAAGCCCCTTCCCTTTGATCCCTTCCCCGCGCCGGGGGGGGGTCTAAGGGCTCCCGGGGGTGTCCCAGCCAGGGAGGTGCCAGTGCCCCGGCGGAGTCCCGGAGGGGTCGCCACCCAGATACGGTTTCCCCCCGCGCCCCGGGCCACGCTCCAGCCCCAGCCCCAGGCTCCGCTCCGGCCCCGGACCCGGACACGGGCCGTGTCACACGGCCCAACCGGGGCCCAGGGGGCCGCAGCCCGGGTCCCGGCCCCAGCGCCACGGCCCCGGTCCTGGCACCCGGCCCCCTGCCCCCAGCCCCGGCCGTGGCCCCAGCCTCGGTCTCGGCCCCGGCCCCAGCCCTGGCCCTGGCCCCAGCCGCGGCTTCAGCCCAAGCCCCAACAGAGCCCAAGAGGCTCCCAAGAGAGCCCCAAGAAAGGCTCCAGAGCGACAGCGTCGTCGTCGTCGCCGCTGCCGCCCGCCGCCCCGTCTTGAGGGTCGGCGGCACCGGCCACTAGGCCTTCCCAACATCTTTGTGTTCACGCAGTGGCCTCGCGAACGCCACCTGCCGGCGGCGCATGATCGCATCAAGTTATGATTGGTCTAAGCTTGGGTGGATCTGGATGCGACTGAGTCTGAACGATTATGACTATGTGCGGATCTGGTGTTGGTGAGTCAACGTCGGGCGTGAGCGAATCTAAATGCTAGCGAGTCTGCATGAGAACGAGATTGGGTGTGAGCGAACCTGAATGTCAGTGAACCTGCCATGCCTATGAAGTGTGAGTAAGGAAAGCGAAGGGGGAGGAGGAAGGGGGAGGGGGAGGAGGCAGGAGGGTGGGAGGCGGATGCGTCTCACGAAAATGCGTTACACGAATCACGGTCTGGGGGAAACGTGCATCCTGCAATGCTGACACAGGCCAGGCTGAGCGGGAAAAGCGCGATGACGACGGTAGCGGCTGGGGCTGAAGGAAGCGGTAGGGGGAACAAACTACGACGACGAGCGAAACCCGATCAACCAACAAACCCGCCACGCAGCCAAACATCCAAACAACCAACACAGCCAAACAGCCAAACATCGCGGCGTTGTCACTTGAGACGTCCTCGCATCGCGGGCGCCATGACAGGGGGCAAGGCGTTCATAGGGGCGGTGTTGATGAGGGAGCAGGAGGGGAAGGGAAGAATCAGGAAAGAAAAAAACCCAGAGTGACCCTATGTAGGAGTTGGAGCCCCGAGGAGAGCAATATAAGTAGTAACGGTTAACGCCGTTATCCTCCTTCTCCTCATCGTCGCAGTTGTGGCAGTAGCGGTAGTAGACGTAGTAGACGTAGTAGACGTAGTAGTAGTAGTAGTAGTAGTAGTAGGAGGAGGAGGAGGAGGAGGAGGAGGAAGAGCAGGAGGAGGAGGAGTAGTCGTAGTAGCAGTAGTAGTAGTAGTAGTAGTAATAGTAGTAGTAGTAGTAGTAATAAAAGTAGTCGTAGTAGTAGTACTTGTGGTACTAGTAGTAGTAGTAGTAGTAGTAGTAGTAGTAGTAGTAGTAGTAGTAGTAGTAGTAGTAGTAGTAGTAGTAGTAGTAGTAGTAGTAGTAGTGGTGGTGGTGGTGGTGGTGGTGGTGGTAGTAGTAGTAGAGTAGTAGTACAGCTTAATACCTACATCTACATCTAGACCTACATCCACATCTGCACCTACAGCTACATCTACATGTACACATGCATCTACATATGCATCTACATCTACTAATACACTCACATATACATGCACATCTACACTATGCTATGATGCGCTATGATACGCTATGCTATGCTATGCTATGCTATGCTATGCTATGCTGCGCTATGCTGCGCTAGGCTGCGCTAGGCTGCGCTATACTATGCTATGCTGAGCTAGGGTATGCTAGGCTGCGCTATGTCATGCTAGGCTATGTTATGCTATGCTATGATGCGCTATGCTATCATGTGCTATGCTATGCTATGCTATGCTGCGCTATGATATGCTATGCTATGATATGATATGCTGCGCTATGCTATGCTAGGCTATGCTATGATATGATATGCTGCGCTATGATATGCTATTATATGCGATAATATGCTGCGCTATGCTATGCAATAATATGATATGATATGCTGCGCTATGCTATGATATGCTATGCTATGCTGCGCTATGCTATGCTATGCTATGCTATGCTATGATATGCTGGGCTGTGCTATGCTAAGCTAAGCTATGGTATGACATGATATGTGTTGTTGCGTTATGATATACTATGATATGAGATGCTATGCTGCGCTATGCTATGCTGCGATATGTAATGTATGCTATGCTGTGCTATGATATCCTATGTTACGCTATGATATGATATGCTAATGCTGCGCTGCGCTAAGCTGAGCTAAGTTAAGCTAAGCAAAGCTAAGCTAAGCTAGGCTAGGCTAGGCTAAGCTAAGCTAAGTTAAGCTAAGCTAAATTAAGCTAAGCTAATCTAAGCTAGGCTAGGCTAGGCTAAGCTAAGCTAAGCTAAGCTAAGCTAAGCTAGGCTAAGCTAAGATGAGATAAGCAACGCTAAGCTAAGGGGACGTAACTGGGGGAACCGCGGGGCGGATCCTGGGGGAACCGCCCGCGGCGGTTTGCACTGCCCGGCCCCTTTAAGCTCAGAGAGTAAGAACCCTTCTAAGCAGAGCCTAGGTAGGGAATAAGCAACGCTAAGCTAAGGGGACGTAACTGGGGGAACCGCGGGCCGGATCCTGGGGGAACCGCCAGGGGCGATTAGCACTGCCCGGCCCTTTAAGCACAGAGAATAAGAACCCTTCTAGGCAGAGCCTAGGTAGGGAACAACCGACAACGTCCTACCCCCGCAAGGCAGGGGCGCTTTGTAAGGCCTCTTGGCCCCCGTCAGCAACAAAAAGGCGGAGAAAGAAAGAACATAGGGGGGAAAGGAGGACCCGAACAACAAGCGGGAAAAAGCCAAAGAAAAGGAAAAGGGAGAGAGTCGGAAGGGGAAGGACTGCATAAGTCAGATCCTATCCTGCGTGCAAGCGACGCCCTAGTCGCAGGCGCACTGGGCGTGGTGGCGGGGGCGACATGTGCGTGTGGACTGCGACATGTTTGGAACGCGGGAACTGCATGCACCACATGGGCCACAAGACCTGCACGAACCGCAAGGACCACATAATCCACATGGTCTCTTGGGGCTTCCTGGGGGCCTTTTGGGTGCCTCACGGGGTTTCGTGGGAGCCTCTTGGTGGCCTCCGGGGGCCTACAGGCGGCCTCTAGGGCCAGAGACCTCGAAATATCGGTTGGCGGTCCCCCTCTGGGCACTCTCTTGGGGAGCTCTTGGGGCACAATTGGGTTATCTGGGGAGCCTCCTGAGCCGTCATGGGGCCCTCTTCCGGGCCTCGTGGCCCGTCGTGGAGCGATCTGAAGGGCCTCCGAGCGAGGCCGTGAGGGAGCGCTGGGAAGCGGGGGAAGCGAGAACGCCTAAATCCTTCAAAAACCATCGGAAAATTAGCGAATATTGCCTCCCAGGGCCCTCTTGGGGAGCCTCTTGAATCCGTCCTGGTGCGTGTTGGAGTCCTCGTCGGCCGTCTTGAGGGCATGTTGGGCGTCTTCGGGGCCTCTTGAGACCGTTAGGGCCCTCTCGGGACCTCCATTAGCCTGTCGCGGCATGCTTTGGGGCGGGCCCGGGCCGCCTCGGGACCCCTTCTGGGCCTTCTCTTGGCGCGCTCTTGGGGCGCACTTGGGTTGTCTGGGGAGCATGCTGGGCCGTCTTGGGGCCCTCGTCGGGGCCTCGTGGGCTTTCTGGGAGCGATCTGAAGGGCCTCCGAGGCCGTGAGGGAGCGCTGGAAAGCGGGAAAAGCGAGAACGCCAAAATCCAAAATACTCTGAAAACGAACGAATCTTGCCTTCCAGGGCCCTCTTGGGGAGCCTCTTGAATCCGTCCTGGTGCGTGTTGGAGTCCTCGTCGGCCGTCTTGAGGGTATCTTGGGCGTCTTCGGGGCCTCGTGGCTTGCTTAGCCGGGGCGGGCTCGGGCCGCCTCGGGAGCTCTGGACCCCCCCCCGCAACCCCCGGTGGGCACCGATGGGGGAAACAGGCAGCGGCCCGCCCCCCCCACCTGGGCCTACTCCGAGATAGAGAATCCTGTTCCCGGGAAGCTTCCCGGGAGCATGATTTGTTCGGTTCTCTAAGAGGGGATCTCTGGG